AAACGTAAAATATTTGAGTAGCCCAAGACATAGCCAAAGATTGAAGCGCCACAGCACTGGCGAAAATTTAAATTTGCCGACTGGAATTCTTTCGGTTGATTGACTTTCGGAAAATCGAGCTCTACTGTATTGTTGAATTATAAAAAAAATAAGAAGTTTTGATTTTTCAGTTTCAAAACACACTTGCATACATAAAAATATATTTTCTAAATATTAGTGCATTAGAATTGAGCTAATTAAGTTTTTAATTCAAAAGCCTATCATCATAACAACAACAAAATTATTTAACTACACTTTACCAATCTTTAACATTCAGTCTATGGTTCTATAATCGGTTTCGTCCGTCATAAATCGAAAAACTGTTCGATCCTGATGAGGGTCAATTTCATCAGGATCGAACAATTGACCNTTCAAAAGCCTATCATCATAACAACAACAAAATTATTTAACTACACTTTACCAATCTTTAACATGCAGTCTATGGTTCTATAATCGGTTTCGTCCGTCATAAATCGAAAAACTGTTCGATCCTGATGAGGGTCAATTTCATCAGGATCGAACAATTGACCGAAAACGTTAGATTACGTTAATAAAATAGACTGCATATCAAAGGTTCGTAAAGTGTAGTTATTTTTCGCAGTTTGAGAAGAGTTAATTATTTAATTTCGAAAACTCAAACAACAATTGAAATAAATTTAACAAATATCCTGACTAGGGATCACATTACTAGTAGATTTGTTAACTGTAATCAGTTACAAATGCATTGATAAGTGTACCTGTAATTTGTTATTTTTTACTTGCTAAATTTGAAATATAGGTAGGGTAAAAAGATTTTTAAAAGCCAATTATTTATTTGTATACACTTTCACATATATTTTTATTTATTAAAGACAGAAAAGCGTTAAATGTTTTTATTTACACTGTAAAGTAGTTTACATCGTTTATCTTTTAAATTATTACTTTCAGTTGAAAAAGTATCACATTTAGATTACCATACTGGACGGTTTTGGCAATTGTTTCTTTACTCACAATGCAAAGAGTGCAATAGTAATTTTAGCTAAGCAACTTATCAGTTGACAACACAAAACACATTTATTGGAATATCAGCACTTACACTGGCAACTTAAAAATTACAGCATATTCTATTTTTTCTTCTTTTCGGGTAGCAAAACTGTTGCTTTTCAAAATATAATAAAGGAAATTTAACCCCACATTGAACCATATCCGGAGTCAAAATTTAAAAATTACTAGTAAAACCACCAAGGTTTCAAAAATTTATCATATCTAATTATTTAAAAACAAATAGATTTTTGACTCAGTCATTTACAAATTTCAGAAAGCACCCAACTTGGAAAAACCTGAATAGAGCCAATAGACAATCTAAATACATGGGTCTTTATTATTTTTATTTAAAATGATACCTTTGACCTAGGAGAAACTGAGACTTCTCTAGCTTTTCTTTTCTTTCTTTTATCAAATTCATCTGGTGGCGAGATGGATGATTCTTGAGATGACTTCCTTCTTTTGGTATCGCTTTGTTTTGGAGGAGCAGGAGGAGGAGGAGGAGGAGAAGGAGACTGCGAAGGGGACTTCGGTTTCCGTTTTGGTTTAGGAAGAGGAGGAGACCTACTTCTAAAATAAATAAAACCAAGTTAGAAATACTGACCATATTTTAATTTTCAAATTAATTTGACAAAACCTCCCCTTTTAAACATTCTGAAGTATTAGGAAAATAAGTATATTAAAGTGTCTTTAATGAAATGAATATCAATAATTAATATTCCATTCATACTACATGGAATCAAAACATTAATGCAAGAATTTTTAATGTTCATTATGTAAGAAGCATAAAATTTTCTGACATTTGAATGTAAAGCATATTAATTTAGCATGTAAGCAAATATTATTAATGCAACTTCTGTGCTTTTCACACTTTTGAGAAGTATGATGCACAGGGGCAAGACACTACTAATTTCAGGTCAAGAACATATGCTTTAAATTAAATAAAGTAAGATTATTATTAAAAACTGCGGCCTGGCATTGTGAGACTGTCACAATAATTTTAGATCATTATTTTTTGAATATATGTAAGTTTATTAAAATATTTCTTATTGTCAAAATCAAGGGAAGCTACAGTGTCAATTTCTATTTCATTTTAATTTTTTTAAAGAAGTTTCTTTTGATGAAGTTTAAGTCAGGAATATAAATTTCTATCATCATGTTGAATCTATCTAACCTCTGACAAATACTGTCTCAGATGCAAATTACTACATTTGTGTTAATGTTAGAGACAGTGATAAAGGACCAGATCTACTTTCTAAATGACAATTATTTGTTCTTAATGTAAAACTTCTTTAAAATAAAATTCACAAATAACAAGAAATGATTATAAAATCATACTTGTATCATAATGACACACAGTTTTTGAAAAATCCATCAGTCTCTGAAGTTGCAAATTTTAGTACAATGTGCATATCCTCAAGGCAGTCATGTAATCTTTCTAGAAGCCTACAAAGAAATGTCAAAAGTGGACTAAGTTTTATGTGAGTGAAATGGTCATTGTAAGGTGGCTGTTTATTCAGACAGTTGCTTTTTGTGATGTTTAGTTTTTAAATATATAATGTACAGTTTTGTAAAATTGCCAAGCTATTTAGACAATTCTTGTCAACATTAACTAATTGGAAATGCATTAAAAATCTCTACTTTATTTTTTAACCTGAGCAACACTGTCAGTCTGCTAGTAAGTTCTAAAGTTAAAATGTACAGTTGACCCCCCCTATAATGTGTTTCTTGTAAAGGAGTCAATGTCCGATCGTTATTTTATGTTTTGGGGCGTTATTTTTATTTAATTATTTTCTTTTCGGGGTTCTTTTTTTTTGTTAAGGACAAACTCCTGAGCACCCATGAACATTGAAAGAAAAAGCAAACTTAGTTTGCATCAGTGCCTGATCCTGTAACGACAACTTATGTAAATTAAGACAGTGCAGAGCTGCACTCGAGGTAGAATAAAAGGCGGCACATCCACGACAGAGATAGGTAGCTTCAGGTGACGACTGTGGGAGCGACGGCGGTAATAAACTAGAGGAAATATAATCTTTTGCTGTAAAATCATATTTTTTGAGGTGGAGATAACAATTTTGTTGATTAGATATATGTACAAGTTGNGGGAAGCAGCAGGCTAACTGGCTGCACCATATTGCCAGAAACTCCTGGGGCATTAGCCCAAAAAATCGCACTCTGATTTATAAAGGTGCGGTGGAACCAGCTTTGCTGTATGCAGCCCAGATCTGGGGCAAGAGGGCCTCCATCGTCTACAACAAACGTCGGCTTTTATCAGTACAGAGGGGCTTTGCATTGCGCATCTGCAGGGCCTACCGGACTGCCCCTACGGACGCACTGTTAGTCCTGGCCAACCTGCTCCCCATTCACCTCAAGATTAAGTCCATTGTTTGGAAATGGAATATTCTAAACACTAATATGGAAAACCTCACGGACGATAAGTTGCAGAACCAAATTCGGCAAGGTGACTTCCCGCCGAACAGCCTTAGCCTCCTTAGTGACATAAGACTACACGGCATTGATAATTATATAACTGGTCTTGGGGCAATGCACCACCCTGCTCTCACTAACCAAATCAAGGTAGAAACCCTCGAAGAAGGCAAGGCTCAGTATAGATGGCATGTGTATACTGATGGCGCCAGGAACAATAATGGGACCGGAGCCGCTCTGGTAGTGTACGACACCCTTGAACAACAAAGTCTTCCATGAGGAATACTTCAGGTTACACAGTCATTGCTCCAATAATCAGGCAGAGCTTCGGGCAATGGTCAGGGCCCTTGCCTTGATTACCAGGGGCATAAAGCATTACACTGGGGGTATAAAATTAATAACAGATAGCCGTTACGTAATCCAGACTATTAGAGGAAACAACAAAACGGTGGCAGATGGGATTAAAGCAAGGCATCTTGCCAACAATCTCAACAACTACAGCAACGTTACCCTTTGTTGGGTTCCCGGTCACCAAAACATCGAAGGAAATGAGCGGGCTGATTCCCTGGCCAAAAAGGCGGCTGGTTTGAAGCTAAATCCCACCTATGGACGTGTACCTATAACGCACATCAACACTTACATCCTCAAAAAATGCAAAGAGGCCTGGCAATCGGAATGGGAAGTCTCCACTACTGGCCGCACTACCTACCGCTTCCTACCCTCCATCCACAGACGCATCCTCCTGCATCATCTTCACCCCACCTTTGAGCTCTCCCAATGCCTCACAGGGCATGGGAACCTTCCGGCATATCTACACAGATTCAAAAAACTTCCATCTCCTTACTGCCATTGTGACAACACTAGTATTGGGGATGTTTTCCACTATGTCTTTGACTGCCCGGACTTTGACCTCCAGCGTGGTCCTCTATGGATGCACTGCACCCTCAACGGCCAGCCATGGCCACCTCCAGCAGACTTTCTATGTGAGACTAAAGAAACCTTCACCGTGTTCAACAATTTTATAAACTCCTGCACCATCTTCCGTGGTTCCTCGCAGGGTTGTCCACCTACAGGCACTCCCCTGCCTGCCACCGGTCCATCTTAGGCTGGCCACCCATCCCCCCATCGATTGGGCTCCACCTCTGTCGGATAGTCTGCAAGCCTAATCACTAGTTCGCAATTTCCTTCTAGCATCCAGCTATCATCTTCCGCAACTTGTCCAGCAGCAGTAACCTCTTCCAGCTTCCAGCAACCACAACTCACCGTGTTCGTCAACTACCTGCCAATAAGGACCATCTGACAGACTTTACAGCATCAACATCGCTTGCACAAGGCACCTCTGTATACTACCCAACTTTTTTGTAATACCCCACTTGAAATGTGTTTATTGTATAATTATACTTAGTACTGTACTCTTCCAAGCCAAATTGGCACCTTGTTTATATGTAAATGTTCCTTTATTATCAATAAAAATAAAAGTTACGTCCGTCCAGGAAATCCCAAACCCTTCCTTTCACCCTCTGCCTCTTCCACCCCCTCCCCGGCCTTTTTCCTCTTCCTCTCTAACCTACTTCTTCCCAACTTCCACCCTTTATCCTAACCTTTTCTAACTTTCCGGGCTAAGTCGAAAGACAGCCTGCTCATTCTATTCCTACTGAAGGGTACACGATAGGTTGTTTAGGGGTACAGAAAAAAGTTAGTTATTATGGCAGAAAAAATAATATATTATGTATCACAAACTAATAGTATTAAAAAATTATTAGGTAAAAAATGTTCCTTGCAACAATCACAACTTTATTACTAATTTAAAGTTACAATATATAAAATTAACATTACGGGTACTCACTAAATTTCTTAAATGAGGGGTACAATCTAGAGATATGACATGTCACGGGGTATGCTAATGAAAAAAGGTTGGAAACCACTGTGCTAAAGTAATGTTTGCTTTAGACATTTAATCACCTGACTTAATTTCCCAAGCCAAACCAATATAAGGTTGATTTATACCCCCCTCCGGGGAGTCTTCACCAAATGCCAGATCGGTGACATCCAGGAATTCACCAAAAAGCCGTATCCCCAAATTGACTTTGTCAAGTGCGATCCAGGAGTCTCAGTCGTGACTTTGTTAATTTGTGCGTTGAATTAAAGAAAGGACAGATTCAAACCTCCGTGGAATTGTCAAAGAGGTATGATAACAAATTGTGTAAACTCTCTCTCGGCCCCCTTTTACTTGTACTCAAGAGTTAGGAATTCTCGATAAGTATTCGATGTTCATTATTGTTAAGTTTATCTGTTATCCAATAAATTTTTGGTTTCCTTGTTAAATGTTAGCATTTACACATCTATTACCTACACCTTACTGACGACCCCTCTCCTCCTCCACTCGACCTGACAAAAAGAATCCCAATCTCTCGGGATCATAAAATGTAAACCAGTCATCCACTGACAAATGGGCAGTTTCCAACAAACTGTTGCCAAGAAAGGGGCGCGACATCCACCTTGCCTCTGGCTACTCACAATTTATTTAGAATACATAATTTTAATTTCCAAAAAATCAATGTATGTTTTAAATAATTCCTATTCTAAACATACAATAATATGCAAAAACAAGTATTCTTCCTAAAATTTGAATGTTTTATTAAGTATTTTCAAGGGAATATATATATTTAGTTTCAGAAGTTGTAGTTAAAACAAAAATTTTAAGTATCATATCATAAAAGAAAACAGCTCATTTAAAATATATCACAGTAAAATTTAATCAGTTTATATAACTTATGAATAGGTGTTATCAACAACATTCTCTTGGTAATAGTTTTCCACTTTCATCACTCTTGCTAGTTAACTAAAAAATGTCAATTTTGCTGTTGTCATTTTAACATGATTTTCATTATTCTGTAAATCAGTAAAATGAAAACTGCAAAACTGATGCAATATTTCAGCTAACTAACAAGAATGACAAAAGCAAAAACTAAGACCAGGAAATACATGAATGAGGTTATTGACATAATACAAACTGACCAAATTTCATTAATCATATTTACATAATTGTGAACCACCATCTACTGCTTTAGTTGAAGAGTTATTCTTTATTACTGATCTTAATACACAAGATGCTGTCAGTGCTCCATCTTCAGAGTTTATACCAAAATGTAACAAAATAAATACAACAAACATAAAAAATCAAAAACTAAAAATAAAACGTAAAAATATCAAGATACAGAGAGACAAAACTGTTTTTTCTCTGGTTTTTGGTTTTATTTTATATTTGTGTTACATTTGTTATAAACTTTGAAGATAGAGCACAGCTCTGAAAACACTTGGTATATGAAGATCAGTGATAAATAACAACACGAAACTTTGTAGTGGACTGTAGTTTTTTGAGGATCTAAGATCGTGAGTGTTCCTTTTATAATTGTAAACTTGTTTATTTTATACAGTTTTTAAATATATCTTATCTGTATATATAAAAAATAAATACTTATTGGTTTGTCCTTTATACAAATCTTTATTCTTAAACTAACCTGGATCAAACTTTGTATGAGTGTCCTAAAATTTGTAGATTCTAGAATTGACACTAAGCTATATACTACCCAAAAATATTGATTTAATTTCTTTATATCAATTAATTTTTGCCTACATCTGACTTGCTGCCTTTACATCTGTTGGCAAAAGAATTTTTAAATATAATTGTGAGAACCCAATTTTTAACAAAAATATTTTTCCATTTTCATCATAGGCCTACCTGTTTTGACAACTAACATTATTGACTATCCTTCACTACCTGAGAACATCTCAATTTACACTTTCTCAATGGCAAAAACGGCATTTTCCCATGATCTATTGACTTCTCGGCCAAGCATTACTGTTTATATATCAGAATTGATGGCTGAATGAGGCAGTCATCACCCATTCCTCTACCAATATCGAACTCTGTGTCTCCTTCAACAAAATACCATCATCTCCAAATATGAAATAATAATTGATACCAACAGGAGTATGTCCCCACATCTGGAACATTCCTATCGTGCTGACCATCTCCAAGAGATACCAAGAAATGGACCTTCACACCTGTTTTTTGAGAATATCATAAAACCCCATATATTTATGACAATGCACAATTTATTGTGAACTCTCTCTCTCGCAACCACCTCCGTTAGATATATCATAATATCAGGTAAACCAACCTACATATCATATAACCTTTTTCTTTTCAAATAAATGGTTATTTGTTGTTAATCTTAGAGTCTGAGTGCACTACTTCCCTTATGCTGTCTCACATCCTCCATCCAGAATCCGATCGCTTGCGCAAATGGCTGCTTGTGTGACCTATTTTCAAATCCAACAAACTTGCCGTCATGGCCTCCACATTGAATGAGACATAGTGGTGTCAGTCCTGACGAGGAGGCATGAAAGAAGTTACAATTCATACAAAAAAGAATATAATTTAAAAAAACAATTATTATATTCCCTTATCATACAAATTTAGAATTCTTAAGGAATTTGGGTTAGGATATCAATTAGCTATTATAACAATCTTCATGAGTCCTAGCCACCAAGAGAGAGAGAGAGAGCGAGAGCATTTATAAAGGTTTGCAGATAGATAAATACTTTGTAGAAATTGTTAAGGTCATTCTTTCATTGTTGGTGGGTTAGAGCCATGGTTCTCAATCTTTTTGAAGTCAGAGAACACTAAACTTTGACATTTTCTTCCACAGAACACTTATAATACATCAGCTTTGAAGCAGGGGTGCTTCAGCTTTTTGAAATCAAGAGCGCACTCAGTCTACTATATGATGTCATTGGCATTTGCCGATTACATTCCCATACAAAAATTATTTTGAACTCTATTGATTTTTCTTTTGTAACAATTTTTAATTGTATATTTGATTTTTTTCATGGAACACTTGAAGTGGCTTCACAGAGCACCTGTGTTCTGCAGACCATGGATTGAGAACCATAGGGTTAGAGGATTCAACAAATCAATAATTTGGAAGATTTCAGTTGGAGACCCTTTATAACAGTTAACAGGATTGTTCAGTGGTTCAAATTGGAATGTCACCAATTGAAAGGAAAGTAACTTGGGGTTTCAGGATGAGTAAATGGTAATCTTCAACGTAGGTAAGGAATCTGAGATGGCAAACTTCGATGATGACGGACTCTCTGTGACAAACAAACTCTCCTGTCATCATCAAACATTGCCTTTTATTTGGGAGTCCTCCACTTTCTTCTCATGCCCTTTTTCTGGCAACATTTAGTTCTACGGCCCAATGGCGATTTTTCCATTAGGTTCCTGGTGACACGTTCGATGTGTCATCTTGGAAAGGAAGTGACTCCGGGGTGAAAGATACAATCATATCCTTTAACATTTAATAAATGTGGGAAACATTTTAACAAATTTTAACACAATCAATGAAAAATTTGATTCAAAAATTTATCGTCAAGTCCAGGCTGTCACATTAAGACAACAGTAGCTAAAAGGAAGATACTGTAAAACTCAAAGTCAAAATGAAAATTTTGAAGTTTCATTTGTTAGAATTTAGTAAATTGTTTTTCTTTTTACTTGTTTTTATTTATTTCTATATATATTAATAAACTAGCTGTTACCAGCAGCCTTGCTCGCACATATTTTGCAAGCAAACCCTATTTACATTCAATATTTCAACAACCATAGTAATTGTTCCTTTTAAAAATCAATTTTTCAAAAAAATATTTCCTCAAAAATTGATGAAAACTTCTACAGAAATAACCACCGTTTTTTGCCTGGACCGCATTTAATCAGAGACAAAAGCTTATCTTTGTATTCTTTATTTACTTATTTACTATGCATTTCGGGTGAAATATTTTCACATAACTTGCATCCCTCTTCAAGTTTTTTACATTTCTATAGATTGGTAAATTCAATTATTACATTTGTTATTACGATAACTTACAACAATAGTTATTTGGATATATTTATACAATAGTTAACTAACCTGTGTTAAGTTTAGACCTACATCTGTCCAGTGTTGATGTTGTGTCCCCTAAGGCATTTTTAGACCGTTTTCCCCTCTTTTTGTTTTCTTTCCCTTCAGCTCCTCCCATTTCCTCCCACACGTTGTCAACCTC